TCTTCCCCAAGCCTGTAGCGCTGCATGGGGTTGTTGTGGCCAAAGTGCAGGACCCGGCACTTGGCCTTGTTGAATCTCATACAGTTGGCCTGGGCCCATCGATCCAGCCTGTTCAGGTCCCTCTGCAGAGCCTTCCTACCCTCGAGCAGATCAACACTCCCGCCCAGCTTGGTGTCGTCTGCAAACTTACTGAGGGTGCACTCGATCCCCTCAAACATGCCAAAACCAGGACAGCCATTACAACTTGGGCACTACCACCATCTAGTCTCAGCACAGAAGAGGTAGTAAGCTGGCACAAAGGAAAAAGAAAGGTCAAAATTAAGCAAGTCAGACTAATACTATTGCCACAGTAATGACTTTCATACTTCAAGAAGCCCAGAAGCTATCAGTCTACATGCACATTTAGAAAGGCAATACGACTGCAGAGACTCAACCTGGCAGTTCAAAGTAATTACTGAGGACCAATCCCGGTTCTTCAGCAGTTCTTTAGCGGCATCCACAGAGCCTCTCTTTTAGGCTGCAAAAACATCCCTTCACAGGGGATGAAGGACAAGTTCTCCTGGAGAACACCAGGTGCAGGGTTTGGTAACGCTGCTCTGACTCCTGTAGACAGGCAGGGGAGGTTGGTGCCCTGTTGCCTCTCTTGCCTTTGAAAATGTTCCCCATGATAAATATTTCAAAATGTCAATAACTGCAGTGTAGAAAGTCATGCTGGATATTTTCAGATGGCAGTAAGAACACAAAATGTATGGTGCACTGGAGCACACAGAGCTGTCACAGGAAGACATATAATACCTTCACACTGTGGGGCAAATCTAGGGGCAATATAAAATACATTGCAAAGCCTTATCTTCACTCATGCCCCTATCCAGGGGACATTCACTGCCCAAATTTATGCATCACATGATGAATAATTCTTGGTAGATTGTGCCCAATATTCCCAAAGGCCTTCTTACCCATATGAAAGGGAGCACAGATAACTAACATGCAAATTGCAGCCCCTTACATGCTGCAGAAGAGCACATGTAACATACAGACGGCTTTACTCTAGTTCAGCCTTTTGTGCTCTCCCATTTATTGCTTTTTTGCTGCAGTCCTTTCTGCTGACCCCTTGTACACTAATTCACCAAATCAGGAATCCCTTCGGCTCTCTCATTCTCAGCAGATATGTTGTAACATGGACGTGCATAACTGGTCAGGGGGCAGAAAAAAGAAAAAGTGAAAAAACAAACTTGCACAATCATGAAACCAGCATTTCCAAATCTCAAGTTCTTACTGCAAGTCTTGGCTTAGTTCAGGTTTTTGCTACAGCACTAGTTATTCATTTGTGCAATTGTGACAAATACAGGTTTTACTGGGGGCAGAGACAGTCAAGCCCTCAAAGCAAGGAAAAAAATGTTCCAAAGCTGTGAAACTCACGTGATCAGGGCTAAAATACTAATTAAACTATTTTAATTGGTCAATTAAAAAAATGCATGTTTTTCCTGCAGTCTCATGAATCTGAGTAAATTTGTGATTTCTGAATGCTTGAGGTTAGCAATACTTGCAAAAGGGCGTGAACCCAATAAGCTGACCCGTTAGCCATGGGAAGAGAGGTTAAGTGGAAGACTAAATAATGTGACACATGAGTTGAAACAGCAAGAAGAACTTAGTCTCAATAAGATTTCAACCCTGCTGACACTCACGTTAACTTGCTCTCTCAGACTGAAGCATAGATGGGATCTGAGCCTAAGGTTCACAGTGAGTCCAGCCTCCTACCTCCTTCCTACCTTCTGCTGCCTTCTACCAAGTGGCAGATAAGCACAACCTTAGACTGGCTGGGCTAGTGCAAAAATAAAATAGGTATCCTTCTCAGTTTCACTAAAATTAAAAAAAAAAAAATCCATGGAACAAAACTTTTAGCCATCATACTTTATCTTTTTACCGGCTGCTGATCAGAGCTAAGGTTTGTGGAAAACCATGGCTCCGTGACAATCTGAGAGGACTGCTTTGTACTCGCCACAGAGCCTAACAAAGTCTTCAAGCTCCAAGAGTCTCTGGGGTTTTTTTTAAACAATTCTTAGAAGTTTCTTTCTACTCTGAACATGCTGCTGCTTTCTTTACCTTCAGCCAATTAAGTCCAACAAGCTCAAGTAAGCAACTGCAATGATAAATCAGCATGGCCAGCAGCCTTGGCAACTGTCCACTTTTAACTTGAGCTCTTCTTCCTCACCATCCATTTTAAGGTATTCGTTTTAACTCAGAACACCACTACCTGCAGACGCTGCCCCCTCGCCCAACTCTGATGGTTACACTCACACACCAACCGAACTGGCATGATGGGATCTCTGGCCCAGTGCAGAGTCCTACAGCCATCAACAAAAATTTAAACTAGGTTTAAATTAAAGCCAGACCTGTCGGACAGGTACCCCAATGTATGGGGTACTTTCTCCTTAAGAGCCCCTGCTCTGTCTGTGGCAGTTCAGGCTAACCAGAGGAGCCAGCAACTACCCAGATGCATGGCAAAGGAGCTGGGACTACTTCAGACAGCCCAGGGACAGTGGGATGCTATGATGAACTGTATTTCATTTACCTTATATTCGTAAGCAAAGTGACACACGAATGCAAGATGCCAGATGGAGTAAGCTGACTGGAAATGGAGAAGAGCCTGGGCTTTCAGATGGGACCTATATTTATGCAAGACTAGAAGCTGAGGGCAGAAACAGCAGAGACACCGCACAGGACAAAAGCCTCACCATACATTTGATAAAATATAGTTTCTTCCAGTCACCCTTCCCTTGGTTTCCCTTGGCCAACTCTGTAAAGCAGTGAGGCATCAAACGAGGGAAGCGGGTGCTGAGAGGGGCCTTTGCAGATGTACACGGGTATTTTAATGGTGTAGCAATGAATGGCATTTCTGTAAGTCTGGTGCAGGTAGATGCACTCTGTCCCTGTGTGATGCTCTCAGCTCTCTGGATGGAGAGTACCAACTCCAAGGGTAAAATACTGTTTTTCTCTTAGTATATGTAACTCCAATTAACCTTATTGGAGCATTGTGGGTACACTGAGAAGATTACACGCCTTAATGTGCAGTTACAGCTGTATTGTAAATGCAACATTACACGCTTTCTATTATGGTTCAAGACCGCTACGCTCTTCAAGACTGTTATAAACCTCAGAAAACAGGGGTTTATAATGGAAACACTGAAACACTCAACTCTAAAAGCCCCGGCAGAGAGGAAATACAGCTATAAATTCAGCTTCTGTTTTCCAGCATATACATTGACAAGGTATGAATAATATGTATTTCTACACTTAGAAGAGACAGATGTACACATTGCTCAGGGTAACCTTTGCTGTAAAAGTGGAGGATGGAAAGAGCTCAAAGAGGAAAGAGCAACCTTTTGTCTTGTCTTTTACAGAGTTACTGCAATTGCAATAATGACATAAAAACAGCAATTGAAATTTAGTAGCCTGTGCACCGGGGTTAGATTCTGAATGCACTTTTTTTAAAAGGGTGGGTTATGTTTCTACGGTCAGCAAGAAAACGATACGACCACCCCCAAACCCCTTCAGCCTCCTTTTTTTAAAAAAAAAGAATTGGCTATTTGGATACTGTTCAAATGACATTGCAAATCAACTTGCTATCCATTGCAAAAATGGATATTCCCTATATATTCTCTATATATTCTCTCCTATATATAGTCTGGTGCCTAGCTCCTTAACACTACCAAGGAGAGAAATTTGGACTAGCAATTACTGGACTTGCTAACGTAAAAAGACCCCAATCTGTTTGGCAAAAGAAAGACGGGCAGGCAACTGTACTATCATTGGGGCTGTGGCATTTGGGAATTTCTTCAGATATAAATAGCAACGGCAGAGGTGGGTCAATATAATCCCATTAGCCACATCTTGCTGTTTGACTTCTGATACGTATGAGGAAAGGAAAACAAAACCGACACAATTGCTTTTTGGGAGGTACGCTGACGTTGGGTAAACAGGAAAATCCATGCCTGCTTTAGACATTGCAGCCCGACTGGCAGATGGGGACAGGTGGAGTAGGGAGGTCCATGCATTTTGCTGGCACAGCCCTCACCTCCAGGAGGGAGGGGGCAGAGGCACCCACCGCTGCTGCCGCCCACACGGGGCTCGGTGCAACAGGAGGTCCCATCACCATCGTCCTCCTCCTCGGGCACCTGCCCTGCCCCAGGGTTTCGGTGGCATCCCTGGCCATGCTGCTGCTCTGGAGACAGAGCTGCCAGTCCTGCAGTGGCTGTCATCGCCTGGGTTAAGCTGGCGTATGTGGTGTCAGCGTACAGGGAATACCTAGAACTCAGCGAGGCTGCATGCAGATACGGTCCCCCCTTTTTTTTAATTAGTGCTCCTCACATTTGGGAAAGTTTCTTGAATGTGTAGGGAATGTTTTCATATTCAGTGCCGCTGCCCCCATAAATTATTTTCTATTACCTACATATTAGCAGTGTCTCTAATACTGTAAACAGGGAGAATATCAGATATGCCAGAAGTCTATGAGGTGTATGAAAAACTTAACGTGAAAAGCAGCCCACGAGCCCTCCCCACTACAGCAGCTGGGTTTTTTCTAAGGTAACGGATTAGTTCACAGAAAGTTTAGCAATTCTTACCAACACCTCTAACATTAGCTATAGCATCCTCATTTTAGATGTATATCCCCTCCTTGTGGGTAACCATTTGAGGGCACTGTGTTTAACATTTCTGTGTGTTTGATTTGTGAAGGACACCTGCTCGTTAGCTTTCTGCTTTCTGCCTTTCCATGCGACAGCAGCCCTGGTGTCCACAGTACACAAACCCAACACACCCAAGAGCCGTACCTCCACGTTGACCCAGAGGTGCCACGTCTCCGAGCAGGACGCGAATTGCCTCATTGTCCAGACCTGTTCAGCATTTGGCAGCGTCTGGGGAGATTAAGGGCAAAGCTACTTTATTACCATTAAAAGGGCAACGCAATTCCCAGCAGAACTGAGAACTGCCTTTCACATCTTCTCTTGGGTGAGACCTTTACTAGGACTGACTCCTGTCTTTGCTTCCACTTTTTTCATTTAAATAGGGTCTTGCATCAGTAGCCTTAGCTAAAAACTTCTACTCTGCTCCCGCAGTCTTCAGCATGCTCTCTGCTTGCTGTCCCACCCCAGAAGCAGTAGCTGAGAACCAGTGTCACTGGCTGTAAGTAGTACATACAGCAAATCTGCAGTCTTCAGCATAATTAGTAAGCGACTTGTCGGAAAGGACCATCAGGGTATAACTGTGCCATTGAACCCAGTCCCTATGCATTGGGGATCGCCTCGTGATGTACGTTCAGCCCTGGAAGGCCCGCAGAGCATCCTCGTGCAAAGTTATCCCAAAACTCTCTGGCAAATTTACACTCAGCTGTGAGTACCAACAGCATCCCAGGCGGCTACTTGTCAGAGGATCACAGCCAAAGTGTTCAGGAGTGTTTTACCTGACCCATGAAGTACACAAAGCCGTTTCTCCTCCCTGCGCTATCCTGACCGCTGCTCTGTTTTATTGAGCAGCAGCATGAAACTGCAGCATTTCCAAGGATTTTCACTGTACTGATCTGCACAGCCCGAGACTTTCAGTTGCCTCCAGTTCAGCAAACAGCAGAAACACTGGAACGAGGAAGCGTACGCAGGCAAAGGCTGTTGCAGGCACTTATGCAAAATTTGTATTTGGCTATTTCTCCCTACTAAGATCTAGAAAGTCAACTTAAAAGGAAAAAAAAAAAGAATTAAAAAAGCAAGCTTAAATTCAGCAAGAAGCTGGATGTTATAAGACCCTTATTCACTAGAGAAAGATTTCCAGTCCCTGCAGGGAGTGGGATTCCCTCCCCCACCTTCTTCTAAGATTGAATGATTATTTATTCCCGCTAACCTTTACATAAAGGAGCCAACAGCCCCACTTCTAACCACAGCTGCAAGGGAGAATGACATCCCTATACGGCCGGTCCCACGTGCTAATGCTGCAGACATTTCGGCAAGCCAACCCAAATCCAGGTGACTTGCCCAACGATGTGCCGCGGGAACGACATGGCAAACCCTCCCAGCCAAAAGCACGGGGCCAGGAGGACCGGGGGGGGGCAACAGGATTTACAGCCCCCACCCCCCCTCCTCCGCCAACTCCACAGCAAATACTAGGAGATCCTTACCTTTAAATTTCTCCCGTGCCTCCTCCACCGGTTCCTGCTTGGGCTGCTCCCCACCCCGAAACAGACAGGTGCTTGGAAAGCTGCCCTCGGCCCAGCAGCGAGGCAGAGGCCGCGGGACTACACCTCCCCAGCGAGGGAGAGGCCGCGGGACTACAGCTCCCAGAAAGCCCCGTGCCTCCCCTGCCCTTCTGCCCCCCTCCAGCCGCCCCTCGCCACGCACTCTGGGGGTTGTAGTTCCTCCCGGGCAGCACCCGCCCCCCACCGCTCCCGCGGACATGCCCTTGCTGGGAAGGGAGGCTTTGCGTGGCTGCAAAGGAAACAAACACCCTGAAACCTATTGTTTAAAAAAGAAAAACAACCAGAACCCTCTATATATCTCTATATATGTATAAAAAAGTAAAACTCGGCGAATATTTTTGTCGACAGTAAGGGGAAAAGGGGAAGTTAGTGTACTTGCAATGCTTTTTCTGATTCTGGTGGGGGGGCTGGTTTGCTGGGAAGGAGGGGGGGGAAGTGAAAAAAGGCTCGTAAGCAAATATTGCCAAATAACTTTGCAAAATCACATGGGAAAAACTTAAATGTTCCCATACACCAATTAGTTAATGACCGGCCCCAAGCCTACGAACGTGCCCATACTTAACTGTATCCTCCGCTGACGTGAATGCAATTGAATCTCATACTCCAGTTGTTCCAGAAACTTGAGGCCTCTAGAAATTATAAGCATGACTTAGTAATGGTGAGATTTTAGAAGTAATTAAGGGCTTATCCACATTGGGAGTTGCTGCAGAGTAGCTTCGCTTGCATAACTCCCCTCCCCTGTGCTGGACATGTATTTCACACTAATACTGCTTTATTCTGAATTAGTTTGCACCATTCGGGCTTTCAGTTCACAAGGTACCTTCGCCTGAATTGATGGACTTGTGCAAGGTGAGCCTAAACTGCACGTCCTTTTTTACCTTGTCTTTACCTTTTTACCTTGGGCATCTCTTCCCAAAAGCTAGGCATTTCTTTTGGAAACTAGAAGCGAAGTTTCTCACACAGTCGCTGCTGCCCTGAATTTGGGAGATCAATAGGAACACTAAATGCCACAAGACCCACAAAAAAACCTTTGGGAGCATGAGCAAGCGGCTGTGTGGTGCTTAGTTGCCGACTGGGGTTAAACCACGACACCCTATTTGCCTAACTGGAAATGTTTGTTTTTCTATCGCCAAGAGGAAGGCTGCGCAGAGGAGAGAAAGCTCTCCTTTCAGAGTAAAATCTCCTCTCAGTAATTAGTCCTTGTGGGTAGCAAGTTTTAACAATACTTCATGGAGAACATAAAATTCATGATCTGTCCAGCGTATAGTCAAAGCTTTAAAGTTTTGCCCAAATTTTATTAATTGCATATGCATCAAAAATGTGAACAACGTTAATGTACAATGAGCCAGAGGAGTTCTTCCAAGACCAGTAGGTATTAAGCTCATGGATATACAAACAGCTCCCCTTTACCTGAGGTGAAGAGGAGGAGAAGGAAAGGTCCTAGATAATGGAAAATAATAATAGATGAGCGATGCAGGAGGTTTTAGTCCACAGGCAGACAGGTGGTACCCATGAAGACTTCTTAGCTTCCACACAGCACCATGCCAAAGCCAGCTCTGTGCAGTTGTATGGCAATGTTCCTGAATGAAGAATTCCCAGAGCTCGGCACGTGATGCAGAGGCAGACACAGAGTCCTGCCAGAACTGCAGAGGACTCACATGGCTCGGTGGCTCGTAGCACTGAGGCACAGCCCAGCTCTGCACGGGGCCGGCGGGCGGCTGCAGGACTTCTTAGCTCGAGTCAAACCATTGAACTGCTTCTGGACTCTGTCTGGCCCAGGGAAGAGTTTAGCTGCTTTGCAAGGCACTACAGCCCATCTTACACTTCTAGAACAATCTGGCACCATATGAATAGCATACTTAAGCCATAACCTGGATAAGCCTTCCAGGATAATTGAGATTCTACAGCATGCGACTTTTAAAAGTAAGTTTTCATAGACTTGCTAGAAAAATGTGAGTTTTGACCTAGCACTTTTCATTCCAGGATTTCTGAACAGTCTTTTTTAATGCAGGTTTAGAAAAGAAAGAAAAAAAAAAAAGAAAGAGTATCTTCTTTTGACTTCAGTTCAAGTTCAATTGATAGAAGATCTATTAATCACCAGCATGCAATTTACATTGAGAATGCCTGTATTAAAGCAGAGACACAGAAAAGCTGGAATGGATCGCTTCCCAAGATCTTGTGGCATTAAGAGTGGAGCTATGTTTGTTTTCTTTTTTTTGTTCTGAACTCTGTAGCATTTGGTTGACTGAGGCAGTATCTCTTATTAAAAATGAGCTGTAAGAGAGCTGCTTTTGTGAACACACGGGATTATTACTTATTCCAACAGGTATTTTGTTAGTTCCTGACTCTGCAAAGACTTGCATAACTAAACACACCATGAATAAGTCCATTGAAATTGCTAAGGTCTGTCTAATGTTTTCATCTTCCTATTTCCCAGAACAATAATGGTCTCAGTCATCTATTATTTGCAAGAATTCACAGATAAAATCTGAATAAAGAGGAAGCATGGATAGTATAGCACCAGACCCTCCTATTGTTTCATTCGAGTAGGGAAATCCACTGGAGACTAAACTTTCTGTAAACATTGGTGTGACACTGGCTGCCCTTCTTCCCTCCCCGAGGGAACGGCTGATGTGGGGAACCTCAGCCCACCCCATTCACCTGACCGCCTCTAATGCGGAGCTGAAAGAGGTGCCATCTGTAAGGACCGCAGGAGGATGAACACAATGCTTTTCCCATATGGAAGAGAGAAGCAAAATCCACGTGCAGATGATTTCCCAATAACAGAAGGCAGGACAAGAGGAAAAATTGTTTAGTGCCAACGGTGCCAGAGCTAAAAATCCCACTGCCTTTCGCAGGGGAGCTTTCTTAAAGCCCCTGCACAGCACAGCACTGGGGCTCCAGCCTGTGCTTCCTTGCACAGAGAAGAGTGAGTCAAGTTTGCAATGCCATTGACACATGGCAAATGCTTTCCATGTTGCTTCCATATTTTGAAAAGACCAGAGCTTTCCTCTTAAACACTAGTAGGCAAGGGAAAAATGGAGGTAAAGCCTAAACAATAACTTTGCAAAGTGCTGAGCAGCAAACCAGAGCGCCAAAGTGCTCATGTTTCCCCTGAAGACCTTTCACAGCTGCACCCTGGTTTCCTGGGCACTTGCCGAGACAGGAGCTGATGCTGCCATCTCACCCCGTCCCCAGCAGTATCCCACTCTGCCACACAGTCTTGGGGGATTTGCAGGGCGTTTTCACTGGGGCTTGACTGACCACAAGTAAGCAATGAAATCAGGTTCCCAACCAGTAGATCAGACGGCGAATACGCAGTGTGCGCAATACTTAATTTGCTCCTTCGTAAGCTTGATGATATGTTAGAAGCAAAAATAGAGGGAAGCTCATGGGAGGGCAGCTCCTCATCCTGTAACCCGAGAGAAAGGGTTGTTCTCCCTCCTCTGCCTGGGGAAGGCTCTGCTCTTGCCACCCTTGGCCCTTGTGGCAGATGAAATGAGGCCATGGAGGCAATCTGGGCTGGGGAAGCCGCAGGAGGAGCTGGATCCCGGCGGGCAAGAACAATGAGGGAGGCTCCGCATTGTTCTTGCCAGCAGATGGAGCAGGGCTGGCATGGGAAGAGTGAGATGCAGGAGCAGGAGGCCCTCCTGCCTCCATCCACGCCTGCCCAG